TAAGTAAATCTAACTGTAGATCTTTTTTGTTGCTTCCAGGATTTTGAGCCTTGCAAGGAAGCCGTGTTCTTGAACTTCTCACTGCCACTGTTAAAACAGAAAGCTCGCACCCGTCTGGTGGACAAGGGAAAGGCTCGTGACGTAGTCTACTTCAGCAAAGCCTTTGACGCTGTCTCCCACAGCATTCTCCTGCAGAAGCTGGCAGCCCGTGCCTTGGACTGGTACGTTCTTGGCTGGATAAGGAACTGGCTGGAGGGCCAGGCCCAGAGAGTGGTAGCAAATGCAGCTAAATCCAGCTGGCGACCAGTCAAGAGTGGTGTTCCCCAGGGGTTGGTGCTGGGGCCTGTCCTCTTCATCAATATCTTTATTGATGACCTCGATGAGGGCATTGAGTGCACCCTCAGTAAATTTGCAGATGACACCAAGTTGGCTGGAAGTGTGGATCTGCCTGGGGGTAGCGAGGCCCTACAGAGGGATCTGGACAGACTGGAGAGCTGGGCTGAAGCCAATGGGATGAGGTTTAACAACTGATGAGGTTCAAGGCCAAATGCCAGGTCCTGCACTTTGGCTGCTACAACCCCAGGCAACGTTACAGGCTTGGCGTGGAGTGGCTGGAAGACTGTGTAGAGGAAATGGACCTGGGGGTATTGATTGATGCTCGGCTGAACATGAGCCAGCAGTGTGCCCAGGAGGCCAAGAAGGCCAATGGCGTCCTGGTTTGCATCAGGAATAGTGCTGCCAGCAGGAACACAGAAGTGATTGTCCCCCTGCACTCAGCTCTGGTGAGGCTGCACCTTGAGTTCTGTGTCCAGTTTTGGGCACCTCACTGCAAGAAAGACCCCTGGAGCGGGTTCAAAAAGGGCAACAAAGCTGGTGAGGGGTCTGGAGCACAGGGCTGATGAGTGGCTGAAGGAGCTGGGATTGTTCAGTCTGGAGAAGAGGCTCAGGGGAGATCTGATTGCTCTCTATAACTACCTGAAGGGAGGTTGCAGTGAGCTGGGGGTCGGCCTCTTCTCTCGTGTAGCTGGTGATAGCACTAGAGGGAATGGTTTCAAGCTGCGCCAGGGGAGATTTAGGCTGGATATTAGGAAATGCTACTTTTCTGAAAGAGTGGTCAGGCACTGGAATGGGCTGCCCAGGAAGGTGGTGGAGTCACCGACCCTGGGGGTGTTCAAGGAACGTTTGGATTTTGTGTTGAGGGACATGGTGTAGTGAGAACTATTGTTGATGGGTGGATGGTCGGACTGAGTGATCTTGTAGGTCTTTTCCAACCTTGGTGATTCTGTGATTCTGTAACTTTTATTGGCCATCTGTGAATGGTCATCATTCACCCTCGAGAAGTGTAGCAGGCAGAACTAATACTAACATTTATAACTAATATATATCTATTTCAATATGTCTAGTTCTTAAATAGGAAATAGCTACCTTTGTGTTTATCCCACTGAATCTCTGAATTATATTTCTCATCTAAGCATGGCTTGCATTGCTATCATCTGAAGTACTTTGTATTATCAGCATGTACTACAATAAGCAGTAACAGTAAATTAAACGGTGCTAGCACACAGTCTTAGACACTAACAAATTATCATTTATACTATTTATTTCTTAGGGTAGTGCCTGGGGTATTTTCACGCTTAAAGTTTCCTAAACAACTCCCAGGCATAATTAAGGACTCGGCACAGGCCATTTTCAATTAAATAGTCACTCTATTTGGGAGGAAAAAGAGTTTGAAAGTTGGCTCAAGTGCTAGAGAATGTGCTTAAGGTGGTGATAAAGACATAGCCCTTAGATACATCCATACAATGGGAAAGTAAAAGAGACAGATTGAAAGTTTAAATAATGACCTCCCACACACATAAATACAGAGTTTAGTGAGCTTCTCTAAACAACTTCCTTTTGTTGCGAGTTTCAGAAATCTGATTTTTTTTCGAAACAAGCAGCCTGCAGAGCCCAGAAGTCCCACCCAGATTTGGAGCCATTGAATGTAAGTATCTTCCTCTCTCCTGAATTGGTAGATGTGTAGTAAAATTTGAATTTAGATTTAATGTCTTATTTTTATTGCTATTCTTTATGCAAAGGACAAGAAATCTCTTGCCAGTGTGTACTATCCAGTAAAGAAGAGTATTCTGGATCTTTACTGAGTAGAGATTTGGGGAAGTTTTGTATTTCCCTTATAACTAACAATTTAGTTCAATTCAGTTAATTTACTTCCAAAGGAGGATCACAAAGATGATCAAAGGGCTGGAGCACCTCTCCTAGAAAGAAAGGTTGAGGGACACGTGCTTGTTTAGTTTGGAGAAGAGAAGGCTCTGCGGAGCCCTCCTCCCAGCCTTCCAGTACTTGAAGGGAGCTTACAGGCAGGAAGGGGACTGACTTTTTACGCATCCTCATTGCAATAAGACAAGGGGGAATTACTTAAAGGTAAAAGAGAGGGCATTTAAGTTGGATGTTAGGAATAAATTTTTTACGTAGAGTGTGGTGAGGCCCTGGCACAGCTGCCCAGAGAGCTATGGTGCCCCATCCCTGGAGGTCCTCAAGGCCAGGCTGGATGGGCCCTGGGCAGCCTGGACTGGGGAGGGAGCAAACAGCCCATGGCAGGGATTGGGGCTGGGTGGGCTGTGAGGTGCCCTCCAACCTGAGCCCTTCTATGATTCAGTGATAAATAATATCTCTGAGAGTATGTCTGACATTTGACCTCATCATTCTACAGGAAACAATTCAAATAAGAAAAGCTACATACTTTATAATGACCATACATAGGAAAAAAAAGGCTTATTGCCTAGACAATTGCAGGAGTGATTAGTGTATCATGGGTGTGTAAAGAACTAATCATGGGTGGTTGTGAATGAACACAAAAAACATTGGAAATTTGTAGAGTCCTCCAACTACATGCCCTTCAATGCACTAGGTATTATTGAGGTAAACATGGCCTGAGAAGGACTGGAAGGAGAGAGCTGAAAATGCTATATTAAAATTTCTAAACCTTCACAAGAAGTTACCAAGTTAAATTTTATTCCAAAATCCTCCGTTGCCTTTTTTCATTCTGCAAATCTTGCTTGATCTTTTTCTGCTTTGAAGACTAAGCGACAGCTTTGCAAACAGGTAAAATTAACCTCTAGTCTCTTTGCAACATTTATTCTCCTTTGCACATAACGTTATCTCAAATAAATTCACCATCAGCAGCCTGATCTAAAAAGTCCATCCAAGATAATGGAACTGCAACTTCAGCAAGCATGGTGTCAGGTCCTAAATAATGGCAGACCCAAAAGTCTGAGGAACTAAAATGGGATCATCATTTAATTCATGAAAAAAGTTTATACTTACTTGAACCCAAGAATTTTTAAAAATAGCTCCATGGATAAGTATATACAGAACTAATATTTTGAGCCAGTTAATTTAGCAATAATTTCCTGCTTTGCAACTAATGAGACCCGGTTGGAATAAATATTATCATAGCTGATCCAAGGCAGAAGTATAATCAAGCAAGTTTGGGAAAACATGCTGCTATAATAAATGCCAACCAGATTTGTTTAATAAATGGTTCTGCAGGCAGGGTCCCCAGACAAAATGTCCTTAGAGCACTGAGATTCATGAGTCTGATTTCCTAGGCTGAACACACAAATATGTGTGCCAATCTCCAACCTCTGTAGCGGCAAAACGCCAGAGCTAGGTCTCACTAGAAGATGGTGCTCGAAAAAACCTTCAATATCATGTTAAAAATGGCTGTGATTTACTTTCCTTCCTGCGCTGGAACTATCGATGCTTCTAGGAACTGCATTTCTCTGGACATCGTGCTACAGTGGTGGCCATGGTGTGATTGGTTCTGTGAAGCATTACTGGCAGCTAAGCCTCAGCTGTCTCTTTATCTCTAGCAGCAGTTTTGTGTTGAGATTCATTTGAAAATACCAGAGATCCTTGCAGTTTTCAGCAAATCAGGGTCATTAGTGTGATGTCTGCAGAAGGATAGCACACAGCTACTGAGCTCATTTTCACATCAAACCCATTGAGTTTCTGTCCAAACCAGACAGCCCATTATGTGTTGAAGCCTGTCTAAATGGTAGAAGATTTTCTAGGGATGGTAACAGTTTAGTGCTATTGTGTACGTAGTGTAAATATAGATAAGCAATGCTCTTTGCACCGAGAAGGAGGAAATACTTCAGTGTCTCAGGCCGGAGAAGAGAAGGGTCTGGGGAGACCTGAGAGCGATTTTTCAGTATCTAAAGGGAAGCTGTGAGAAAGAAGAGGACAGACCCTTTAACAGGCTCTGTTGTGATAGCACAAGGGGAAATGGTTTCAAACTGAGAGGGGAGATCTAGACTGGATATAAGAAAAACATTTATTACAATGAGGGTGATGAGGCAGTGGAACAGAGAGGTGGTGGTGCCCTGTCCCTGGAGACACTCCAGGTCAGGTTGCATGGGGATCTGAGCAGGAGGTGTCCCTCCAGCTGGAGGTGTCCTGTTCATTGCAAGGGGGCGTGGAATAGAAACTTTTAAAAGTTCCTTCCTCAAATATTCTATGATTCTACCTCTAAGCAATTAGCTCCAATGACTTTTTGATCCCTCTTAACTATATAAAGGCAGTCTGTCCTTTGACTCTGTCTTGATTGCATCCTGATTAATTCATGTTGCAATCTTTGGAACCATTGGTGTTGGAGATCCAGGAGACTACTTTTTCTCTGAAGTGAATAGCAAGATAGGTTCATCTACTTGGGAGAGTTTGGGAAACAGATTACTTGCATCTTTTTTAGGCTTCAACTTGAATAAACATGCAAAAAAAATTACCACTGTTAAATGTTGAAATGAGAGATGATCAAGCAGGAAAGAGGAGCAGAAATCTGAAAAACCTCTAGAACCAGAGATTGTGTGCCATTTACAGGTGATCAGGAGTTTGGACAATGTATAAAGATATTTGCTTACAAAAGTGTGGCTCCCAGAACTGATTTTTGTGTGAACTCAGCATCATAAGCTGCTGTTTCATCAGCTATTTTTCATGTTTAGCAATATGCAAGCAACTCCGTTCCTGAGTACCAGCTGAATCTCTTCACAACCAGAAATCAAGCTCAGAGAGGAAGTTTAGGTAAGCTCAAGACAAAGACATCACAGGTTAAAGCACAAGGCTGTGTAAGCAAGCCAGTGAGATGGAAAAGCCATGAAATGACCTTCTGATTTCTGCTGCAGACTAATTATTGAAGTCTGTGTGTAGCTGAACCAACTACTGCTGCTATGTTATGGAGATTTAGGCTTTATCCATAATAGACAGGACTTTGTATCAAAACAGAGCTCCTATCTGTGCTGTTTGCTAACACAGTGCTTGCCTGCAGTGATGCTGTGCCAGACATAGGAGTGACAAGCAGTGCGTGAAGAACTATACACGTCCTTCTTGGTGCTTTTCTTTCTGAGAAATCCTGTTTCAGATAAGCATATGTTCTGCAAAGAACATCTTCATCTAGGAACTGTACACTTCCATATCCTCAGCTTCTCCATCTCAAACTAAGAACAGTCAGAGCAAGAAGAGAGGGTAGACCAGTAGACAACAGACAGCATTAATTATCTGAACCCCTTGTAAAATAATTTATTTCACATAGTCACACAGAATTGTAGAGGTTGGAAGGGATCTCCAGAGGTCATCGAGTCCAACCCCCTGTCAAAGCAGACAGCAGGTCGCACAGGCAGGCATCCAGGCAGGTCTTGAACATCTCCAGAGAAGGAGACTCCACCACCTCCCTGGGCAGCCTGTTCCAGTGCTCCGTCACCTCACTGTAAAGAAGTTCTCGCGCACATTGGTGCAGAACTTCCTATGCTGCAGTTTCCGGCCGTTTCCCCTTGTCCTGTCTCCACTCACCACTGAAAAAAGTTCGGCCTCGCCATTCTGCCCCCCACACCTTAGATATTTATAGACCTGGATCAGGTCCCCTCTCAGTCTTCTTTTCTCAAGGCTGAACAGACCCAGTTCACTCAGCCTTTCATTTCCTCGCTCAGGAAGATACCTTTGATTCATGCATGCAAATTATATCACAGAATCACTGAATAATTCAAAGCCCACCCAGCCCCAACCCCTGCCATGGGCTGGTTGCCCCCCACCAGCTCAGGCTGCCCATGGCCCATCCAGCCTGGCCTTGAGCACCTCCAGGGATGGGGCACCACAGCTCTCTGGGCAGCTGTGCCAGGGCCCCACTGCCCTCTGAGTAAAGAGTTTCCTCCTAACTTCTAACCTAAATGTCCCCTCTTTTAGTTAAAACTATTCCCCCTTGTCCTATCCATCCCGTTCATTTTAAGGATGTGAAAAAAAAAGCAACATTTTTAGGCCTTGATCTTGGAATTAGTTTCCATTCAGTAACTAGATGTAATTATGCCAACTCACACCTCGCAGAGAAGTTATAGACACTGTCAGGCTTCTAAGGCATGGTTGGCTTACCATTTAATAAACAGTACAAATCCCATTATGTAGTTTTTATCCTGGTACATCGCTGACTACAGAATATGGAAGACATTTCTAAGGAGAGAAAAAATAGCTTAAATATTCCTATGTAGAACTCAAACAATGTTGAGATCCAACAGTGCAAGACACTAAAAGCATGTATTTTAATATAAGCCATGGTGCTTCCACAGCATGTCTTTGGATACTTTTCTCGTATAAAATTAGAAGTTCCAATTGCATTTGCTGAAGTGAGTGACATTTGCTTAAAAAACATAAGTTTGCATTTATTTAAAGACTTACTCTCTTGTTCCTAATGTTTTGTATTAATGTTCAGTCATGGCTAGGCCAGTTTCTTCAATCTCTATAGGAGGAAGATATAACTAAACAATAAATAGTGCTTTTAGTGTTAGCTGCTACGCCTGCTTGTAAATGTTCTGCTCCTTGAGGAGTTCATTGTTAAGGAATGCTGCTGATGAAATACTGTAATTGCTCCCATTACAGGAGTAAACAGTACAAATTAGAGCAAAATGGCAAATGTCTCATGTGGAGGAAAACAGCTGCTAGCAGTGTTGCTCTACAGTAACATTTGGTGACAGCAGTAAGCAAGTTGCTGAGGGCCCAATTCCCTTGTCAGCTAGCCACTGTAATTGCAGTGGTACTGTAAGTGTAAACGCAAGTTTATCCCAAGTGATAACGGGATGCAGGTGGTGAACCGCAACAAAACTTTCCCAAGCCAGTAGAGGAGGTTTCACTTTTTTCCTGATGCTATTTTTTCCTTCACGGACTGGGGACAGGAGAGCCAGTGGGACATCTGGGCTGCCTGCAATCATGGGACAAATTTATCATTTAATGTCACTCACAAAGTCACCAAGTTTGATCATAAACCAGTTTGAATTGTCCTCCCTATTGCTATGGGAGGAATGCTTCATTAGGCTGAGCAGGAAGGCATTTAAAATCTACGTCTGGTATGGTTTTGTGGAAAATGTCAGAACTCGGCAAATTGAGTGACCTGCTCTTGTTCATTCAGTAGTGCTTCATTAAAATATTGGGAAAGGAGAGAAAATGAAGGAGTTATGACAGATAAACAGCACTTTTCAGAGTGGTGCATTCTCTTGTTATGTCAAAAATGCTTTACAAAACTTCAGCAACCAAGAAAATCTTGTTTCATGTGGGAGGGCATGGAAGCACTGCACATCAACTCAAGGATCTTCTGCTGAAAGTGTCTAAGAAGATCCTGAGATTTTCCAAGGATCTGAACCCTTAAATAAATCAGTGAAGAGGGTTGACCTCTTTAATCAATTAAATCAGCAAAAATAGGTGTGGGAACATTACCCACAGTAAGATAACAGCAATTTCTAAGTATCATACTTTGTGTGCTTGAAGAATGTCTGTTACTTCATTGAGAAAATGTCTTTGTTGGTTGGTTTGTTTCTTTGTTTCTTTGCTTGAAAGTAAGATAGAAAAATTCAAAATATCTCTTCCATAGTTCATAGAACCGTAGAACTGTTTGAGTTGGAAGGGACTCTTAAAGGCCATCGCGTCCGACTCCCCTGCAATGAACAGAGACACCTGCAGCTCTATCAGGTGCTCAGAGCCCCGTACAGCTTGACTTTGGATGCCTCCAGAACGGGGCATCAACCACCTCCCTGGGCAGCTTGTGCCAGTGCCTCACCACCCCCAGCATAAAAGATGGTAAATTGTTGTGAAGACCATGAATTTCTGGAAATAATTTTTCCTGACTCTGAATTCCACTAACTTCACACATTTTTCTCTTGTAGTAATGTAAGGGACTCTGTAGGTGCCTTTCATGTGCACAGGTGCACAATGCAAGAAGTTATACAGACTATTCCATGTGTTCGGATTCTGCCTGCAGAGTACTTCTGAGTGGCTCCTATTTGGAATACCAAAAGCAGAAATCCAATATTTATGACTAACAAGAAACACAAGTTCGTCTCATCCCTGCACATTCGTGTAGTACCTATCTCCTGTAGTATTTTTAAGCAGAAGTGTAGTTTATCATTATATTGTCACTGGAACAGATCATTAAATAGAAAAATGGCTATTAATTAATCTTCAATAGAAAGCCTCAATTTCTCAAACCTATAATGCCTCAAAACTTATGCTTCCTCCTCTGTTTGCTTTGCTCTCACAGAACTATGTACCGCGGGCTGCAGAACTACAGCACTCTGTGCAAAGATATTTTTTCATCGAGTGCTTTCTCTGCATGCGCATCCTCGCACTGGGAGAGAATGTTTAGTCATTTAGTAATTAAGCTCAGTTATTTCTGTGATTTCAATTAACCTACAGTTTGCATGTCCTCAAATCCAAATTAAGCTTCACTAAAAATATTTGTCCTCAGTTGACTGCTAAAAGAAACTGATGGATGAATTTAAGTCGTTTAAAAACAAATAAAATTTGAAAATATATGTTTTTGAGAAAAAAAAAAAAGCTATCAGTCACTTTTTTTAACTATTGTGTCTGAAATATCCTCTGAGAGATTTTGTATAAGATGTGTGCATGTTCGCATGTGTCCATGCTTGAAGTCTACCCTGTCAGGATCAGCGGTTATCTGCAAGAATCAGCTGTTAATTGACTGAGTTTCAAACATAACAGATTAGTTAAATGTTGAGAAATGATCCACAAGGACTGTCCAGCCTTCACACATTCAATTAATTTGCAATTTACATAACATATGCTCCACCATTAATGACCGGTTTAAATCAGTGTTATGACTGGGCTACTGGTGCTTTAATCAACTAATTTTAGACTTAGACGTTGTTTTCACATGCTACCCTTGTGTAAAGAACTTCATAAAAGGGGACAAACCCATGCTGATTTTCCTTGGATGATCGTGGAATCATTCAATCATTACAGTTGGAAAAGACCTCTAAAATCATCTTGTCCAACCGTCGATCCATCCCCACCATGCCCAATCACCACAGCCACATCTCCACATTTCTTCAACACCTCCAGCATGGTGACTCCACCACCTCCCTGGGCAGCCTGTGCCAATGTCTCACCACTCTCTCTGAGAAGTTTGTCCTAATATCCAACATGAACCTCTCCTGGTGCAACATGAGGCCATTCTCTCTTGTCCTATCACTGCTACCTGGGGGAAAGGCCGACCCCACCTCACCACTAGCTCCTTTCAGGCAGTTATGGAGAGCAATACGGTGTCCCCTGAGCCTCCTCTTCTCCAGACTGAGCAATGCCAGTTTCCTCAGCCGCTCCCCATAAGACCTGTGCTCCAAAGCCCTCACAGCTTCGTTGCCCTTCTCTGGACACACTCCAGGGCCTCGGTGTCTGACTTGCAGTAAGGGGCCCAAAAAAATTTCTCAAGGTATGGCCTCACAAGTGCTGAGTACAGATCTGCCTCTCAGACAGATCATCATATCCCCCTCAGCTTGGTGTCATCTGCACACTTACTGAGAGTGCACTCAATCCCCTCAGCCAGATCATCAATAAAGACAGTAAGCAGGGATGGCCCCAGTACTGACCCCTGGGAATGATGTTTTATGCTATTCCTACAACACTGCAACACTGTTTAAATATGGAGAAATGCCACCACTTGTAACCCTCTTTTTCCCAAGTGATCCTGAGTGTTTAGGGGTGGAGGTCCCAGGAGGAAACCTCTCCTGCCACCCTCTTTCTGTGTTCTT